CTCAACTTCTGCATAGAATATATATATCCCCTTTTAATATCGTTAAAAAACTATTTCCTTTCTTTTAAATTTAATGTATAATTACCAAAATCAAATTGAATTTTTAACCAATCCTTTCTTCCATTTCCTCTAATAATTTCTTCCCGTTAATAATAAATTTTCACATCCAGGCCATATCGCAACACGATGATTATTAATTAGATATATTTACGGTACCATCAGCCCATATATATTCGCGGTATACGATTCGATACCACACAAATATATGATATAGACTTTCTTGTTAGAATTAATTTATCTTTATTATATGAGTTAAAACGAGTTTCTCCTTGATATAGTCACAACACCATTGATGATTCCCACCTCAAAATGAAAAAGCTCTTCAAAAAATATATAGCCAAATTAAACGTTTGATATACAGTGTTTATTTTATACGCTCTAGCATCCATACGACACTTGGAGCAAATACTGAATAAATACAGGTTTTAGATTTACTTTCGTTAACATCGTCACGTCATGTTGGAAATAGCATTTGTCTCTATCATTAGTTTTTCTAAGTGAACCTTACACAGGTCGTATTTCTATTATATTTGAACTTCATATACGTGTATCAATTGTTTGATTTTTCGATAAGAAATTACTCTTTGATATTTTGGCATTCATGAAAAATTGTTCATGGTATTGTTTTGGTAATAGGTGAATATATAATAAACTTTACAGGAAATATTCAAAAGACTCTTGTTTGCCAAGTAAAATTTCCATTCTAGCACAGAGCTGCAGCTTCTCTGCCGACCCTGTGAGCGTTTCAGTTATATAAAATTTTTGTTTCGCAATTACAGGCAATATAGCAGGTACAATCAAATTGAAGTTATGAGAAAACTATTCCAGATATGAATTTATTGATTCTAACAACGGAATGAAATTTTATGAAACTCAATTATCGATCATGTATTGACGGTCCGCATTGCGATGGAAGAATCAGGATCTGTAAAAATAAATATTAAAACGGAAACGCCGGAAAATCTTGGAAACAGAGGATAAATTTAGATTTAGAATTAATCGGGCTTTTTAAGCTCGTGAAATTAATTGAATAGCTTAACTAAATCAAACTCTAATAGTGCATTTGGCGCAGCACTTTGAAAATTACGAAGATCTTGCAATAACCAATATAATTTCATACCAGCTACAAAACTTACGAACATTTATAAATGAACGAATTTAAAGGAGCACAGAGCCACATCGAGCTCCCAGGAATAAACGAAGCTCCAAGGTTTTGTAAAAAATTTCTTGAATTACATCGACTATCAAACGCTAATTGGTTTCGTCAAATGAAAAGTTCTAATTTATTATCTCTCCTTATATTATAATAGTATTGACAATCAGATGATCAGTGCTCATAACTTACAAGTTCAAATCTTATTTAATTGATAAAAAATCCGACCATTACACAGCAAGTTATTTATAACTGTAAATTAGTAAACTGCCCATAAGGAACAGCTAATTTTTAAACAGAATTTCAATTTTAATCACACGATATTTTTTAGTTTTGTTATTATTATATTACAAGTATTCGTTTATTATAAATGAAATTATAATTTGAACCAAAATTTTAGCAAACTTAAAAAGCTTAAGATTTGATATCTTCAAGACTGGCTGAAAAGACAGGGTTTGGAATTAAGCTCTCTTTTTGGTGAATAGCTTCACTTTCTCGTAGCGAAATTTATTACAGAGATTTTCGCTTTTGTTTGTTCAAAAACTTTGCGTTGTTACAAACAAATTTTATTTGTTAGCTTCAGCATTTAAAATTTGATTAAAAGATTTCAAATGTGAAGGCGTGGATTTCAATAAAGCTTATTGTGGGATTTCATTTGTTTGTATTTAGGAGTTTGTAGAGTCGAAATGGTGTTAGATATTTTGGTAGCTCAATATTTATTTGTTAGTTCTAAAATTTTCGAGTATAACGCGTTTCGTAGCCTGTTTACCGCACGTAGCTCTTATTTCCAGTCGAAATCGATTTTCGCGCTGGCAAAATTTTAACGTTGCAAGTGACATTAATATACTCGGTGGTCATCTTTTGGGAGGCTTGAAAATTTGAGTGTAATAAAGGAAATAATTAGTGTAAATCAGTTTTGTATCATTGACGACTGACTAATTATTATAACAAGATCTTTTGAAGTCAGATCAAAGCAGAAGAGTTTAAGTCGTGAACATCGGAATTGCGAACCGAGGTCGGGTAGATCCTGCATATCAATCCAAGATTCAACACTTATTTTGTGTACTCGTAAATATTGCTCATACATATAATTTCCTAAGATTATATATACTTAATTGCAGCATTTGTAAGTAAGTAAATTATGAATTTTTACTCAGAAAATCAAAGAATTATTCAGAGTTTACAGCATTCTGAAGCCATTCGCTCATCCAGGCTGATATTCATATCTATTTTTCAAGCCTTATAGTCATCATTGCTCTCGTCCATATGTATAAAACGTGATCAATTGGGAGAAAACTTTCCCTAGTAGCTGCTATTCTAACTGTTACTGACTTTTTTTGCTTATTGTACCAACTTTTCTTGACACACTAATGTTAATTTCAGGCTAACGTTGTTTTCTAATAAATGTACAATATACCTTCAGCGTTAGCCGATATACCGAAATCGGGGTGATGTTACGTCACAGTTTTCTACTTCAGCACACGTGTCATGAAAAGAGACTAACTGAGTTTAAGGGGACCGACCTAGCTAAAATTTGAATATTTTGAGTTTTTCTGTTTCTTATCTCATCTTAAAGGTTGTTTTCTTGCGCATCGAACGATATAAGTATCGTCCCTGTGCGTCGAAAAACGACTTTGTGACAGCTCCTCAAAGGGAGGTGGGTTTTAGGTCCCTTAACAAAACTCTACGAGGATAAATGACGCGCTGGTCACTCCACAAAGGAAGGCCTGGCATTAAGCAGCCAATCACGGCACTAAAGTGGGCATAGTCTTGTTTGAAAGAGCACTTTCTTACGCATCGATTGGTGGTACACCCATCTTTGTACCTCCAATTTCTACTGCACCACGCCCCAT